CCACCACTGCCACCACCAAAGCCGCCCCCGCCGTTGTTGTATCCATCATAGCTTCCACTGCCACCATAACCCCGGCTTCCTCCAGAATATCCAGGGCCACTGCCTCCATAACCTACAAGGCATGTAAGATACTCAATCGTATATTTTACAAATCTCTAAAATGAAGACTATTTTAACAATTTTTAAATTTTATGTATGTGATAAAGATATATACCCTAAAAATAAATCAACATGTAGCAATATGATAGCTTATGAAAAACAGCAACTTTCAAAAACTCTATGAACTTACCATCATTGCCAAACCCATTATAGCCATCTCCGCTGCCCCCGTATCCTCCTCCTCCTCCACCACCTCCACCTCCACCACTGCGGCTGCCAAACCCACCTGAGGAAAAAATAAAATATTAACATATTGATCTTACTTCAGATTTATGGTGAACTTCTGATAAAAGTCATTCACATACATAAGTTTGGCATTTCTGTAAAAAAAAATAAAATAAAAAAATAGAAGTATATAGAAAAGATACACAGATCCAAAGTACCGCTTAATTCCAGAAAGAAACCCAACAAGATGCAATAATGCATTCCTTTAAGTCCTTACTGTGATTAACATCTTAAAATGAATTTTAAATCTTCAAAAACCTTACTTACCACGGCCTCCAAAATTGCTACCACGGTTGAAACTGTCACCACCGCCAAATCCACCTCCACGCCCACTGCCAAAACTTCCAGAGCTACTGCGACCTATGAACAACAACAACAACATGTAGCATTCCTAGAAAATGTCACTACAGTTATATCTGTTCAAATACTGCACACTTACCTCGCTGACTGGAAGAAGCACTGGCCATTTCTTGTTTTGACAAAGCCTTTCGGACTTCACAATTATGTCCATTTACAGTATGGTATTTCTGAACTAGACATGAAAAGATAAAATAGTATCAAAATCTCCGTAGAAGCTATATATAGAGAAAACAGAAAAAGTTAGGGCATAGCTGGAAGGATGAAATAAGATACTTACTGACAATCTTGTCCACAGAGTCATGATCATCAAAAGTAACAAAGGCAAACCCTCTCTTTTTGCCACTGCCTCGATCAGTCATTATTTCTATAACTTCAATTTTGCCATACAGTTCAAAGTACTCCCTCAAATGGTGCTCCTCTGTATCTTCCTTAATCCCCCCAACAAAGATTTTCTTCACTGTCAAATGTGCTCCAGGTCTCTGGGAATCCTATGAGACAGGACAAACACATTTTAAACTCTTAGTATTTGTGGCTGCTTGATTATCCATATTGCCAGAGAACACATGATGTATCTTAAAGACATGGGTGTTTAAAATTTCAAGCCTATCAATTTCAAATTTTAACATACTATAACCCTTAAATTTCTCCAACCTGGCAGCGCAAAAAACAATTATTTCAATCTCAGCCAACATATTAGTATATTGGAAGGGAGGAGGAGCAATTAAAACTTTTGTGTTTTGTTCCAATTGCAATTCATGCATGATTTTTTAAAAAGGAGAACTTATTTAAGAAAACTTATATGTACATCTGTCTTAAAAGCTCTAACTTTGCACACAGCTCATAGCAAGAATCATAAAAACAAAATAATTTAAAAAGCTAATAAAATTTACAAATAAATTTAAAATAAGATGTCTAATGCAGCAGTAACTATTAAGCCAACTATGTTATCAATGTTCTGTGTAGGATACATGACTGTAATATTTTGGGCTTCCAGTATTTTTGCCAAGACTTTGAACCTGTTGACTATGCATCCAACAGTAGTTTTTCTTACCTCTCTAGATACTGCTCTCTTTGGTTCAACAACTCTGCCATCAACCTTGTGTGGTCTGGCATTCATGGCAGCATCAACCTCCTCCACTGTTGAGTAAGTGACAAATCCAAACCCCCTGGAGCGCTTAGTATTTGGGTCTCTCATTACCTAAGAGGAAACAATATACATTTTTGCTCTAAAATACACAATTGCAAGCAATATTAATTTAGAAAAACTGAATTGTCTTGTTTTCTTAGAAATAGGGTAGTGATATACTAAAGGCAATATTAGTACTTAATCTAGTAATTGGGAGATTTTTGTCCTGACTATTCTATACTTTATATCTTAATTCAAGCAAAGTACACATATTTATTAATTTTGTTTGCTGCCCATCTTGACACAAGCTGACATATACTTACCACACAATCTGTAAGTGTGCCCCATTGCTCAAAATGATTGCGAAGGCTCTCATCTGTTGTCTCAAAACTCAGGCCACCAATAAAGAGTTTTCGCAGCTGTTCAGGTTCCTTGGGGGACTGAAACAGAAAAGTAGGCAACACTAGGAAGGATATGATCACAGCGTATAATGGTGGTGGTAATGAAAATAAGCATGATTTATTCAGCGTATAATACCAGGTCCATCAGCCAGAGCCAGATAAAAAGTATAGTAATTAGCTATTTAAGAAATAGGAAGTGCTTTTAGCACATGCACAAGCAATATAGCTGTTGTGAGTACCAGAAGCAAGCTCATAAAACCTGAAAAACCATTTCTGACTTGGTGTTGTGACTTTTTTCCAATTAGGTTTTTATCTAACAACTGCAAAACCTAAGTACAAATAGTCCTTGACCTATGATGAAATTTGTGAAGCTAAGCAAGACAATTAAGTGAATTTTCCGCATTTTACAACCTTTCTTGCCACAATTAAGTAAATCATTGCAGTTAAGTTGCAGTTGCATATGATTAAGTGAATCCGGCTTCCGCCCACTTTGCTTGTCAGGTCACAAAAGGCAGTCATATGACCTCAGGACAATCTTCATAAATACACACAACCACACTTCCAAATTTTGATTATCATATGGGAATGCTGCAATGATTTTAAGTATGGAAACCCAGTTATAAGCCACCCTTTTCAGTGGGCTTATAACTTCAAACTGTCACTACAAAAATGGTTGTAAATCAAAAACTACCTGTAATTTAGAGATCACTCAGAAAATGTAGCCTTATTTTTTTCTTTGAGCCATTCTGTGGTGTCATAAAATGCAAACTTTCACTCTACATCAATTAACTGCTTTGCTTGTTAATGTACAAAGAATCCCAAGACAATAAGTAGAACATTAACATTAGCATGCACCTCTAATGCAATTAAGGTGTCTAAAGCATTTACTGTACATTGTTGGCTGCTTTTGTATTGTTACAGACTATAAGGAATTATATTTTAGGAACAAAAGCCACTGTTCTGATATGCCCCCAAAAGGAGAAATACAACAGATCGTCCTTTTAAGGCATACAGGAATGCAATTAGGCCTACCAAAACAGTATCAGTACCGTCTTAATAACTTTACTCCCGTTTTCCCAAATAAGGTGTATTTTAGTGTTTCCAGCAAAGTAGTTGCTCTGATACGAAGGAGTAAACGTACCATTTAAGGGGGAAAGGTGAGATTACGTTCCAATTTCCAACATTGTATAAGCAACCTCAAAATTTATAATAAAACACATACAATGGCTGATGCAACACGCTTTCTCAGCCACCTATTTGCCAATGTAAGTGTTTTCAATTTTAAAACTCTTAACTAGAGCTTCCTTGGGCACAAGTCTTGGTTCAGAATGGGCCTGCATTCTCTTCTCACCCCCACATAAAAAAAAATCACCCGAAGGAAAAGGAAGAAGAGCCACCCGGCCGTCTCTTCCCATTTGCAGAGAAGTTGGAGCAGAGAAACGTGAAATTAAAAGGCCGAGATACCAGCTACCAGAGACAAAGCAAGGGAGCACGTGGCCTTCCCATCCCCCCCCCACGCGCAAACTCCGAACTGCTCCGGCCTGCCGCACGGCGCAAGCGCAGCCATGACGAGAGCAGGAGATGGCAGCAACGAACGCCACGCACTGGAAAAGATGGCGCCTAAGCTAGCAACACAACGCGCATGCGCAGTTTTGAAGTCACCGTGGGGGAAGGGGGGGAAGTAGGCCCAACCGGAGAAAAAGAAAGGCCTACTACAAAGAAGATTCAGAAAAAGCCAAACGCGGGCAAGCGGCGGAAAAAGACTAGCGCAAAAGGAAAATAATGCATTTGAGTAGCGGGAATGAGGAGAGAAACGGTATTTGTAACACTTACTGCGTTAGGCGACAGATCGCACCCATAATCAGACGATCCCTAAAGGCAAAGGAAACATAATTCCACAAAAACAAGCCACTGGTATAGAGTCGTAAAAACAAAATAAAGATGCCCGTCATAGGCTCTTACCTCAGATTTGGACATCTTGGCGGTAGCAAAAGGGTAAGGCCGGCCTTCTTCACGGACGACGCTACCTCACTCTGCACCCGATACCGAAAGGGGCAGACTCACCCTTGCGTCGTCGCCTCACTATCAACACCCACCCCTGCCCACTGTCATTGGATGGCTGTGTAGCTTTTGTCGATGCCTATTGGTCAACAGGCAAATAGTCTGCTCCTTAGTGGACAAATACGCAAAGTTATGCCCGTTTCCTCTTCATTGTCCCACCTCCTTTTTCTTTCTATTGGTTGAATTTCTGTCACTCCTTTGACTTGGTGAATTTTCCCGCCCTGTACTCCTAGAACTGCAGCTGCAAGGCAACACCCTTCTATTTCACATTGTTTCCTTCTCATTGGAGCATTCGGAAAGTAAGTCGTTCTGATTGGCTTTTACGACCGGCCATCTTTATAGAGATTGGTCTATCTTCTCTTCATTCATTATCATAGAGGCGGGAATTAAGTTCGTGTTCTACACGGGTTTAGGTTGGTGGTTAGAACTATATTCATCCCTGTGGTGGTGAAGGTACATGCCAGGGTAGAAGGGGAAAAAAAGATCGTTTTATGTATAAAACTTGCGTCCAGGCAGGCGTACACGGTGAGGCGTATTGGTACATATGCGCATGCGTTTTGAAATATATCCGCCGAGGAAACGGTTGAGGAAGATAGTAAGGAGGTGCGCGCGCCTCACGCCAGCGCGGTGAAGCTGGGAAGGGGGCGGAGGGGCTAGCGCGTGCGCATTAGAAAGCTGTTTTGGCGGGCGTTGCGCAGAAGCGGTGGCCGTGAGGGGGTACAAACCAGGGAGGGGGAAGTTGGTTTCGTACCGAGCCGTTACTTTCCCCAGGTGAGCGACCACGGGAAACAGTCTTGGCGGGGAGCGCGTTACCGAGAGCCAGTGATTCTTCGGAAGAGGGTGTGGTTTCGGTGTGATTGGAAACCTGATTGACTGAGCCGTGAGGCACCGTTGGGAAGAGGGCGGGGCTTGCATCTTGGGCGGAGCCCTCAAAAGTGAGTGACAGCCGAATGAGTGAAAGCTCGAGGCAGTTAACAGCGTCAGAACGTTGAGATCCCGTGTGTGAAGTAACAGGCGTTTTAACCAACGAGGGTGCTCCGTTTGTCTTCGGGAGGGTTGGCCCGGTGCCGTTTGATTGATGTGCAGTCTGGCCAATGAACGGCTACAAGGAGCCTTCCTTATGGAATGTGGGGGGGGGAATCTAGGAGTGAAAAGCGTTCCCGCCGTGACTCCACCCGCTCAGTGGATAGGCGCTCATTTGGCTTGCGTTTTATTCTGTTTCCCATGCAGAATTTCTCGCCAAGCTTTTTTCCCCGATCCACAGAAAGTGGGAGTCGTTTTCTGTAAAAGTGGTGGCCGGATATCTGCACCTTCAATGGTTTCTGTATTATGTATGGAGAATTTTACAAACATTTTTCAACAATAAAAATAATATCTAGTTACTTGACCGTCCTTTCCTGTGCATCCGTACTACTTTAGGCGGTCCCGTAATTACCTGCAAGCCTGTATCAGGAATGTGATGGTTGCAACTCTGATAAATTTAAACCTGAGTATCCCAATAATTGCATGAGACGAACTACTTTATATGCATACATTCTAGAGCATTATTATTTACCGTGATAAACATTTGTAATTCTATAATACCTGTTTTACTATTTTTGTTGATTTATATATTGCTTTAAGAAAAATAGAACTCAAAGGTGGGTTAATTTTTGTCCAGTCTGGCAACATTTATGTGAGATCTCATATTAAGTCCCTAAGAAATGACTGGAGAATTTTGTTGTGATACTATAAATCTTTGAGACGATAAATGTATACGTATCTATTTTATCTATAATAACATAGTTGTATGCAGCAATTTCAATTTTTTAATTGAAAGAACTTGTGGAACTAATAAAGCATTTGGATGTTATTAGTAAATTTCATTGACTCTTAAAAATATGAAAGCAACATTTTCATGCAATAAAGTTTCTTCCCCTTTGTGTTCATCCTGGACTGTCTCAAAAGGTGCTTTTTCAAGAGGCAACTTCCTTCTTTTTCTTGACATTTTGCTTCTCATCCAAGAAGCTTCTTCAGCTCTGACTGGATGGTGGAGAATGGAAAGATTTATACTCCTTGCAGACAGCTGGTCCCTCCTCTTGGTTCAATTTTGATGTAGATGGCCTCTTTGACCTCTCTTTCAAACCAGCAGTCCTCCCTGTCCAAAATGTGGACTTCCGTTGTCTTCAAAAGAGTGGCCTTAGTCTTTAAAATGCAAATGGTACTGCTGAATCTTGTCCTGATAGGTTTTGTTCTCCTATGTTGTGCCATGCGTTTATGATGTGGTTGCTTTGTTTCCCCAATATACAGATCTGCACATGGCTCACTGCTTTGTACTGCATATACTACATTGCTCAGTTTGTGTCTGGGTGTTTTATCCTTGAGGTGGACAAGCTTCTGCCTTAGCGTAGTTGGGTTTGAAGTGTGCATATATGTTGTGTTTGCTGAAGATCCTCTTGAGCTTTTCTGATATTCCTGCAACATGTGGAATGACAATGTTGCTTCGTTTATTGTTCTCTGTCTGTTATGGAGGGGCTCCTGTTGGGTTTTTTTTGAGATTTGATGAAGGCCCACTTGGGATAGCCACATGTTCTTAGGGCTTCCTTGATGTGTTTTAGCTCTTTTTCTTTCCTATCTTTGCTGGTAGGCAGGCCTTCAGCTCTGATAATGGTGCAGGGTTCTGATAATTCCCATTTTGTGCTCCAGTGAGAGTGAGAATGAAAAAGTAAATATTGATCTCTGTGTGTGGGTTTTCTGTAAACTTCAGTGTTAAGACTTCTGTCTTCCTTGATGTGTACTGCACAATCCAGGAAGGCTAGATTATTTTTCCTTAACATCTTCCCATGTGAATTTGATGTATCTGATGTATCATAGAAAACCATGGTCTCATCCGGATCCAGTTTTAGTTTCCAAATCTTGCTGACGAAACCTGTGAATTGTTGATGTGATGGGTGGTGTTGCCAACCAGAGGAACTAATACGGTGGTTAGATGTTTTGCAATTTTGTAGGTGATGTGCATCTTCCTATATCAGTGCCACCTGATAAAGGAAGATGCATAGTCATCCTGAACACAGATGACGACAAGGCCAACAGTTTTCTGAAGGACACTGCCACATATGGGACCTGAAGAGATCCCACAATAGTTGCAAGAAAAAGGTCATTGATTTCTTGCAACAACTCCTGAAGGATAAGGCCATCAACAAGCCACAATACTAGTGTCTACCTTGGGCAAGCCATATGGACTCCCCAAAACTCCACTTAGACCAATTGTCAGCAGCATCAATTCTGTCGCCTACAACATTGCAAAACATCTAACCATCTTATTAACTCCTCTAGTTGTGAATACTACCCATCACATCAACAACTCACAGAACTTAATTAGCAAGGCTTGGAAACTAAAATTGGACCCAGATGAGATCATAGTTTCCTATGATGTAACTTTCCTCTTCAGCTGCAATTCAACAACTGAAGCTGTCATGGTAGTAAAGAAACAATTCCTGCAAGGCAGCACTTTAGGTGACAGAACCAACCTCACCCCAGACCACATATGTGCCATGCTGGACCTGTGCCTTACCACTACCTATTTTAAATACAGTGAAGGTTTCTACAGAAAAAAACATGGCTGCGCCATTGGTTCACCTGTGTCCTCTATTGTGGCCAATCTCCATATGGAAGAGGTAGAAACCAAAGCCCTAAATTCCTTCACAGGAGTTCCACCCACTTACTGATATAGGTATGTGGGCGATACTTGGGTCAAAATCAAAACACAGGAATTGGAACCGTTCACCAAACTTAACTCTGTCGACAGATAGATCAAATTCACTCAGGAAGATGTTAAGAAAATAATCTAGCCTTCCTGGATTGTGCAGTACACATCAAGGAAGACAGAAGTTTTAACATTGAAGTTTACAAAAAATCCACACACAGATCAATATTTACTTTTTCATTCTCATACCCACTGGAGCACAAAATGGGAATTATCAGAACTCTACACCATTATCAGAGCTGAAGGCCTGCCTACCAGCAATGATAGGAAAGAAAAAGAGCTAAAACACATCAAGGAAGCCCTAAGAACATGTGGCTATCCCAAGTGGGCCTTCATCAAATCTCAAAAAAGACCCAACAGGAGCCCCTCCATAACAGAGAACAATAAATGAAGCAACATTGTCATTCCACATGTTGCAGGAATATCAGAAAAGCTCAAGAGGATCTTCAGCAAACACAACATATATGCACACTTCAAACCCAACTACGCTAAGGCAGAAGCTTGTCCACCTCAAGGATAAAACACCCAGACACAAACTGAGCAATGTAGTATATGCAGTACAAAGCAGTGAGCCATGTGCAGATCTGTACATTGGGGAAACAAAGCAACCACATCATAAACGCATGGCACAACATAGGAGAACAAAACCTATCAGGACAAGATTCAGCAGTACCATTTGCGTTTTAAAGACTAAGGCCACTCTTTTGAAGACAACGGAAGTCCACATTTTGGACAGGGAGGACTGCTGGTTTGAAAGAGAGGTCAAAGAGGCCATCTACATCAAAATTGAACCAAGAGGAGGGACCAGCTGTCTGCAAGGAGTATAAATCTTTCCATTCTCCACCATCCAGTCAGAGCTGAAGAAGCTTCTTGGATGAGAAGCAAAATGTCAAGAAAAAGAAGGAAGTTGCCTCTTGAAAAAGCACCTTTTGAGACAGTCCAGGATGAACACAAAGGGGAAGAAACTTTATTGCATGAAAAAGAATTAGAATAGAATAGAATAGAATAGAATAGAATAGAATAGAATAGAATAGAATTCTTTATTGGCCAAGTGTGATTGGATACACTAGGAATTTGTCTTGGTGCATACGCTGTTGTGTACATAAAAGAAAAGATACATTCATCAAGAATCATAAGGTACAACAGTTAATGATAGTCATAGGGATACAGTCAATATAAATCTTAAGGATACCAGCAACAAGGTTACAGTCTTAAGTGGGAGGAGATGGATGATAGGAATGATGAGAAGATTAATAGTAATGCAGATTTAGTATTACTAGTTTGACAGTGTTGAGGGAATTATTTGTTTAGCAGAGTGATGGGGTTCGGGGAAAAAAAATATGGTTGTAAGTCAAGGACTACCTATGTATAGTTAGCTTCTCACTAGTACCTAGTCTGCCCAAGGACAATTTATGCCTGACAGCATGATTTGTATATACGTATCAAGTACATAGAGCCATTTTTGTCTAGTCGTTGAGATACCAGGCTAGGTCACTTAGTTGCAAGCCCCTCCTTAGCTATGAAAGCCAGCTGGATGACTTTGGGCAAATCACTCTCTCTTAGCCCAACCCACTTCACAGGGTTGTTGTTGTGGGGAAAACAGGAGAAGGAAGATGTGTTGGATATGTTCACCACCTTGAGCTATTTGTAAAAACAATAAAGGAGGGATCCAAATTAAATATACAGTTCTAAATTGGTTGCTGGAATGGTGGTAAAGTTGTGGTTGCTTCTCAGTAATAATTAAGAACTACATGTACGTATGGTGTAGCATGCTTGGGCAAAAAAACACTTAACGGGGAAGTCAGTGCAGTTCTGGGATATTAGATTCAAAATGTTCTTAATTGTTCTATTGATCCCCACACTTGCAGCGTTTTTCATGTTGGCCATATATAGCCATAATATCCTATTAATAGTGCATTTAAGCGTGAGCCTGGCTTACATGGAACTCTATACGTTATAAAGTTTACAGGTAAGTGCTTTTTGCATCCTAACTTTTTGTTTCGTATTTAACATGGAAGAGATAGTT